GTAAATCAGGGCCTTTTCCTTTTACTTTATACACTTCTTTCCCTTTGATCAAATCCTATGTAACTGACCGTATCCTACCAAGTCAGAGGTTTACACTATCTATCGGCTTGTAACAGCTATGTATTAAGGTTTACTTCTTGTTACGTCTACATATGAATATATAAATATTAAAGAGAGGGAAATGACTGGATGAGCACTTCTGTAAGTGTTAAGTTGAAAATTTTAATCAGTGGCAGCTCATCCATGTTATGAAAAGTTTGTACAACTTGTTTTAATTATATTTACAGCCAGAAGAAATATTTACTTACAATTTAGGTGTGAATAAGAAAGTAAATTAGTGTTTGCATGGATCCATCCATCCATCCCTAAAGCACTTACTGACGATGGATGAATGAATGAATAAAAACAAATGATGATATTAATGCATGTTTATGCATATTTAAAGATGTTTGAATTCTTAATTATAGAAAGGTGTATGAATGTTCTGACATTTTAGTTGTTCTGAATTATTGTTATTACATTAATCTAACAGTGTGTAAAGTGGTGTAGTCAGTGTCAAACAGGATGAGGTAAGAAAAATGACATGTTTTGGCTATTATCTTTTCATAAGGTTATAATTATCATAACTATTAATTGTCATAACTAATACAGTATATTTCACATATTTCTCAGGAATTAGTAGCGGAGGCAGATGCAAGTGCAGGATTAGGTTTATTTGAAGTGGAACACATGAAACATAAAGACCATGAAACAAAAGTAGGAGTAGTAAAGCAAGCTAACAACATGAAAATTAATTAGGTTACAACAACAAAAGCTAGACAATGAGTGCTATACAAGATGTGACTTTAATACTAGTGTTAATGTGATGCGGTGTGTTCTGTGTGTTGTAGTTGTAGTTGTAGTTCAGTGCCGTTATAGCGCTACCCAGACAATATTTACGATGTTTAAATATACTGATTTTCTACTGTAACAAAATACGTATAATGTTAGTTCAATCATAAACATATGTTTATAATTTAATCATTTTCAAGACAGCCCAAATTTCCAATTTCAAAATTGTGTTTATTATAATTTCAGGCTTGAAAAAAGTGCAAGCCATGCTTCTTTGGAATATGATAGAAACATTTTTCCTTCACACGTAGATAGGTGGAATTGTGGTGCAGCAGGTAGTACTGCTGCCTCACAGCTCCAGGATCCCAGGTTTGAGCGTGTAAGTGTGTGAGTGAGTAATATATAGTATGTAGAAAACTGACAATCACACCCATATATGCTTGTTGGGCATCCTGTTCCAGATTTAGTCCCCCTTGCTGTTATAATAACCTTCAATCTTTTGGGAAGGCTTTGCAGAAGATTTTGGAGCATTAGGGTGCTGAGGTCAGGCACTGATGTTGGGTGAGGAGACCTGGGGAGCAGTCTGTGTTCTAGTTCATCCCAAAGGTGTTCAGTGGGGTTGAGGTCAGGACTGAGTTCTTCTACTCCAATCTACTCCAAGACATGGCAAACCATGTCTTAATGGAGCTCGCTTTGTGCGCAGGGGCATTGTAATCCTGGAACAGGTTTTTCTGCCTCTTATTTCCAGTGAAGGGAAACTACTACAGCATACAAAGACATCCTATATAACATTGGGGAAGTGCCACATATAGTTTCAATGTTCTGTTCTCAACACACTTTTGGCCTTGATGATTGTAGCATGTGTTGTGGGATTTTCAATTCAATTTTATTTGTATAGCCCTTTTAACAATAGCCATTGTCACAAAGCAGCTTTACAGAAATAAATACATTCAGGATATAGATTTCAAATCCTAATGAGCAAACCAGAGGCGATGGTGGCAAAGCAAAACTCACTGTGACAATATGAGGAAGAAACCTTGACTGGAACTAGACTCAAAAGGGAACCCATCCTCATCTGGGAGACATCAGATTAAGTATTAATTATGAATTATAATGTGCAATTATAAATAATTCCTTTCTATAACTGTGTACTACATGGTCAACAAGTGCAATTGTGTAAACAGGAAATTCATTATAGTTTTCACATGAAGTCTATTTTGTTGAAGCTATCAACTGTTCACTGATGGAGACTTGCATATGGTCCTAGTACAAGTACTTCTGTCTTGTCAGAATTAAGTAGAAGGAAGTTAATAAGCATCCAGTGTCTAATGTCCTTTACACATTCCTCAACTTTATTAAGCTTGTAACTCTCATCTGGCTTTGCTGAAACATACAACTGTGTGTCATTAGCATAACAGTGGAAGCTAATACCATGTTTACGAATAATTTTGGCCAGAGGGAGTATAAAGAAAAAAGCAGTGGGCCTAAAACAGAACCTTGCGAAATTATACCAAAAATACCAAATTTTACCTTAGTATGCGTAGAGAAGTCACCATTTACATCTACAAACTGATAACGATCGGTCAAATAAGACCTGAGCCAGGAGAGGGCCGTTCCCTTAACGCCAACAACATTTTCTCGTCTATCAAGGAGAATAGCATGATCAATGGTATCAAAAGCTGCATTAAGGTCAAGCAACACAAGCAAGGAGACACAACCCTGATCAGAGGCCAGAAGTAAGTCATTTACTACTTTAACCAGCGCTGTCTCTGTGTTATGATGAGGTCTAAATCCTGACTGATAGATTTCATGAATGTTATTCCTATGTAGGTACGAGCGTATTTGCTGTGCTCCAACCTTTTCTAGGATCTTGGAGATAAAGGGGAGGTTTGATATTGGCCTATAGTTGGACAACAGACAGGGGTCGAGGTCAGGGGTTTGGTAGCTGCTAGTTTAAAAGATTTAGGTACATTTTGTTTTACAAATGGCAAGAAAGCTGAGACAAGGTGGCAATTAAAAAAATAAAAATAAAAATGCCCCAATATATCTGAATTCTCGCTACTTTAAAAAATGTTATAGGTCCAAAAACGCATACAACCCATACCATTGTTTTTTGCACCAGAGTTGTTGCACGTGCATGCAATAGCTTTCTGTTTCCACTGAATCCGCACAGCCACAGCTCATAAGTTTCGCTTTCGCTTTCGTTTCTCCTTCTCAGTGAGCTATAAACAAAGACAGGGCAGTATATAAGCGATGACTCTCCTAAAGCGAATCCAGCCACACAAGCAGACTGTACATCTTCACCATGTTGTGTTACTGGGGAGAAGCTGTAAAACCGGACGGATTTGGCTTAGTGAAGGCTGACAGCGTGAAATTCACGGACACTGGCATTGGATACTTTTCTCCCAAATCCAGGATCAGGGATGTGTCTACTGGGAAGAGTCTTGTGGGATTTATCCGGGGGGATGGAAATGCATCTGTCATGAGACTGAACACCAGAGAACCTGTCAAGTCTGGAAAACTGAGTATGTATTTCTCAATATTAATCTGGCATTGGAGACATACACAGGACCTTGTTACATATTTTGGGGGGTTTATGATTTTTATTTGTTTTTATGGAGAATTCAGGGAAATTGGGACAGTTTTTAGATTTCCAACTTCTTGTTGTTAATAAGACATAATCTCCTACATGATACACTCAGGAAATGATCAAAGTGTTGACTATCTGGATATGAAGGAAACAGGTTTATATCATATTCTGAAGAAGCTTGGCTTCCCCTTGTGTCAGAATGGACTGAAAACCATTTTGACTTCATCCTCAATGACACCTTTAAAATTTAGATTTATACAGAGCATGCTTCTTCATGCTCCAGATGTACTTTGAATTCTAGATGACTGTATGTTGTCGAATCTCATCTGCATATCACAGGATTACTGTAATAGTTTACTAGATAGTAGCATAAGCGTAAGTGTGATAGCTTCTTTTTTGTTTGAGGTGATGTTATTAATATCGTCCTGCCCCACTAAAATCTATGGTCCCAAGCTGCTGCTAATCAACATAATCTCTATGTACACATTACACCAAGTAAAGATCTCTGCATACTGCTTTTTTTGCTTGTTCTCACTCTCTCTCTCTCTCTCTCTCTCTCTCTCTCTCTCTCTCTCTCTCTCATTACCTCCCTGCATCTATGCCAGTCTCCCTGGTGCCATTTTACTTTGCAATAATCGATCATACTTTGGGTTGGGTTATTAGAGGGCAAAAGAAGCTTAATGCTAGTGTGTCTTATTTAAATATTTTTAAACATAAGTACATCTTTATATTATTAGAGCAGTACATCTTATGCAGATGTGCATCAGATATATGTGTAATGCCCATACAGTATACTCTAAGTCATGACAATTTTATAACCTTATAAAAGCATAAAACATTAAGTTTAACTTTCACTTAGTTAAACTTTCACTTGTCTTTCACCAAAAGACAAATTCTGCTTGTTTTACTATCCCGATTTGCCTTCATTCTCCCTGTTATTATTATTATTATTATTATTATTATTATTATTATTATTATTATTATTACTATTTTAGAAACATTAGACCAGAAGAAAGACAAGATCAGACTGATCAGCTGTGGTGATGTTGATGCTGTCCTTCTGGCATATGGAGACAGAATATTTTCTGTGGAGAAATCTAATGTTTGCAGGTATGTTTCTATTATTATTATTATTATTATCAGTAGAATTAGTAGTAGTAAAATGCAATGATTATTGTTACAATATGTCATTTATTTGAATTTTTGTTTTTTTGGTCACAGGCCCATCAAGGAGCTCAGCAGTAAAACTGTAATTCAGGTTGCATGTGGAGACCAGCACTTCATGGCACTGACAAATGGTATTTACTGGATATTTTCATCACTGTTCAGAATAAATGTTAATTAAGCATTCGAGAAGGGGAAAGGTTCAGATGATAGACGTCTCATTCTCTGACTCATAATAAGAGCCATCCTCTACTTGTCAAAGCTCAGCTAATTACAGTGTACAAAATAATTTTCATTTCCTCGTAGATGACGTAGTTGTGTTTTACAATGTACCTTTAGGGTGGAGCTAAACAACATTCCTGTGCTCTGTGCAAATTAAATATGTTTACCAGTATACACACTTATGAGGATACACTCCCTGGAGGACTAATGGTTAGGCCTCAGCTCTCTCACTGCCATGGCCTGGGTTCGATTCCTGGCCAGGGAACCTACCCCAGCCACTGGGGTTGCACATGACAACGTGTGCTCTCAGTGCTAGTCACGAGCCCACATAAAACTGGGGAGGGTTGCATCAGGAAGGGCATCCAGTGTAAAAACTGTGCCAAATCAAATATGCGGACCAATGATCCGCTGTGGCGAGCCCTAACGTGAGCAGCCGAAAGAAGAAGAACAACCATTATACACACTTACACTGCCCTCCAAAAGTTTGGAAACGCCTGAACAAAATAGGGTTTTTGGGCAATATCAGCATAAATCCTCTTTAGTTAGTGACCATTTTGCATTGATAATAAGGGACAACACTAGGCATCCGAGCAGTCAGTTTATTCAAACATTGACTTGATATATTACTCCAAGCCTCCTGGAGGATTGCCCAAAGATGA